ATGAACGGCACAGTGCCTATACCTTTCATCCTAAGCTATGCCTCCCACAGCAGCCCCATTGCCACGAGCGGCTTAGAACATATACCATGTATAAGGTCAGATCTAGAGACTCAGGGGCTGAAACACTTTCCTTATGGTATACTTATGCAGCACTTGATACCCATGCTTCTTGCATTGGGTGCAAAGCTCTATCCAACATCTCCGGACAATCGATAGGCATTTCGAGTTTTGGTGAATTTACCTGGAGACCGCGTCGCTCTCTAGGTACACCGTCACTTCAGCCGCAGCCCTGCCGCGTACCCAACTCTAGACTGCATGCATATGATCCAGCTAGGTGGCAAAATGTTTCGTACCCTGCATAAAAGGCCTGAGCATACAGCGCGCTTGATTCAGATTTAATGCATCAAATCGCGCCTATCACAGGTTTGATGCATGTCTTACGACATGGTCACAACATTATGATAATATCGCGATATCCATAATTACAAGAGGAAAAATCCTCTGACATTGTACATAGTTCACTTATCATTCTCATGTCGACTCAAGCTGATACCTCTATAGTCCAAGCGGGTGCCTCACCTGATGCCGCCTCACCTGATGCCGCCTCAACTGATGCCGCCTCCTCTAATGCCACCTCTGCAATTCAGCATAAGCAGCTGTCTGAGTTTGAGAAAGGAAAGATTATGTTTGCCTATGAACAAGGGTGGGGATATCAGCGGATAGCGGACTATATTGGTCGATCAAAATCTACTGTACAATACTTTGTCAAGCGCTATATTGAGCGAGGGACCCATGAGAATGGGAAGGCACCAGGTCGTCCAAAAAAGATTTCGGAGGATGCTGAAAAAGTAATCCTTGATTTGATTGAAGGCAATCGCTCTATAGCCAAGATGACGCTCATGCAAATTCCGGAATTAAATACTATTCACCCACGAACTCTTGATCGCATGCTTCGAGGGAAAGGAATTCGGAAGTGGATAGCAAGAAAACGTCCAAAGCTCCTACCAAGGCATGCTAGCGCAAGATTGGCATGGGCACTGGAAAGAAAGGACTGGACTCTAGACCAGTGGAAAAGATTCATTTGGTCAGATGAGTGCTCTGTAGAGCGGAGTAAAGGTGGAGGTGCTAAGTGGGTGTGGAGGAAGGAGGGGGAGGATCCTTTTGCAGCAGCAGTAGTCAACCCATCGAGGTCTGTATTCAGGATTACCAGCTCAAATTGTGTGTTGCTAATACAGTGCTATAATAGGACATCCCATGATATATCTGTCATGGTATGGGGATCAACATTAGGATATCTATGGACTCTGGATGAAGGACGAAATACTGCTATCAAATACGTTGAGATCTTAACACATGTCCTTCCTGACGTCCGTCTGGAGTTGAGTGAAACTCTAGGTATTGAAGATCCAATTTTCATGCAGGACAACTCGTCAATTCATACCTCCAAGCTTGCTCGCCAATGGTTCAAAGATAACGACTGGGTAGTTGCTGACCATCCTGCTTGCTCTCCCGACTTGAATCCGATTGAACATATTTGGGCATACATGAAGCGCCAACTTCACAAAAGGTTTCCTCATCTAATGACTATGCGTGGGGTCCAGCAGTAGTGAAGGAAGCACTGGCAGGTGCACTACAGGAGATTTGGAAGGAGATTCCGGAATCGTTATTGGAGAGCCTCTACAGCTCAATGCCTCGCCGTGTAGCGGCTGTCATTAAGGCGGAGGGTTGGTATACAAAGTACTAGGAATATGATATTGTACATAGTTTTTATTGCATATCTGTACGCGTCTAAGCCTCGATTATGCGCGCTAAATGTAAGACGTGCATTAGCCTCATATGCAAGGGGTACGAAACATTTTGCCACCTAGCTGTATGTACTCGATGCATGACTATGCATCTATGGTCAAATTTCATTTTCACGACTTCGTGATCTCGAGGGCAAACGATCCAAGTACTATAACGGATACCTACTGGTCTGGAACACTAGATTCACTTCCCTGGGCCCGGAATAAACGATCCGATCACACAGCGATAATGATGGGCATGATTGGCGAACGGATGGATCATCCGTACCAACCCCGGTTCGTTCCTAGTTGGTGGCTCAGAATGTGAATCATCGACCTGGGCATAGTCATTTATATTACGTCCATGCATGGTTGCATATCCCAGAGCTCAGGCCAAGACTGAAAGAACCGGGGCCTAGCCGGTTGACACCCCAGCTACGGATATCAAGAGAACAGGCGTTGAACATTTAGAATCCATAGCTAAGCCCCCAGAATTACTGGCTTTACCTTATCCGCAAGCTCGACTCTCCAGCCTGCCCCAACTGCGAACACCTATCGGAGGACGGTTACCATATCACCTTTGATTCCCCCTCCACCGCCAGCAGCGCCAGAAGCTCATCGGTGACGCCAGGACATGGGAAGATTTAGACACACCAATTTGGAGAAAGGAGGAGGGAGAGAGGGAAGAGTGGGACGCGGTAGAGGCATACTTCGCCTACCTCTACCGCCCCCTAGTCGGTCGGTAAGAAGGTGCCCATAGTTGAGAATTGCGATATTTGCTGCGTTGTTTTGCATCTTTTGCTTGCTTTGCTTTTGTTTTTTGTACCTAGCGCGCGCAGGGCGTCAGATTAACTTGACTGTCCCTTGAATATCTGGGCTTCCGGGTGGCTCGTCATACGACCCTTAAGGTTATGCATACGAGTACTGAGTTCAAAAAAAAAAAAAAAATCAAAAAATCTATAGCTAATCAGCTGTTTTAATTGTGTCGGGCTGGTGACAAAACAGGACTAGTTACAAATTAAATCCGCTGGTTCAGGGTAATGCCTCTAAACATGCGTTAAGCACCCTGATCTACATCTAGTCTGAAAGATAAACAAACTGAATCCACCTGTAAATGCTTAAATCATCACCATGATTAATCGCAGGACGATTACGAACCTGAAATATGCCTATGAGCTCCCCCTTCATGATATTGAATTATTCCCACTGGGTCTCCTTATATAAATAGTAGGATATATAACCCTTGGACTACCAAGTTCTGTTTACTTACGTTGAGACTCTTCCAGAATTGATCTATACCTTCACACAATATAACCAAATGAGGTGAGTCCACCCCGTCTCGAAACTTCTAATTGCCACTCCACTCATGCTGCTGAGAGCTCTTTCTACAGCGTCATAAATATGACGGTCACATGGAAGGAATCAGATACTTAAGAGTTTATAAGTGTGATAGATCCTTATGTGGCCTAGTTGACTTGACTGGTCGAGGTATTCCTTACCAAGCTAAACTGTTGAATTGAGCCGCAGATAATATTGCATAAACTCCCACTTGTATTGACTTGTTAGTAAACAAGCATTTTCTCCAAATCTATATCCCTACAAACAAGGCCCATTCAAGCATGAGGACAACAGGAAAAAAAGGAGCTAAGAGAGGTTCCTGGGTAGATCTCAAGTGCTGAAAACAGTTTGGTTAGTTTTGAGGGTTTGCATGCTTAATGAGCATGCTAGATCCTTGAGAACGGTTTTTGTTTATACCCATCGGCAGAGCAGTAGTATATGCTAAGTATTGGTATTTACATCTTGAATAAATTTACACTAGTGCCTACCCCACCAACCTCTGAGACTTATGATCTTAGATCTCCTGTTCTCTGACTCACGGAACTGCCGTCAATGTGAAAAAGCCTAATATGTGCCAGGGGTTACCGGCCTCACCCCCGCACTTCAATATCTAGCAATCGGCATCGTGACCGCACTCGCATCCAGCTGCAGTTCTAGGTTTCATTATATTGGCTTACATGCATAGTCTCGTGCCTAGATTTGATATGATTCAATCTCCCTTCAGGATAACGACCCCCAGTCTTCAACTCATTGTCATTCTAAGAGTATTACAATGGGTTTAAGTCGAGCCAGAAGTCTCGAAGTCAAATTGATTCTGGCGCCATATCGACCTCCTCAACTGCTGCATCATCCTCTTATATGTATATAGACTCTCTAACACTATTGCTAACAATTCCCACGCCTCTATCTAATTACGCAGACTCGATACAACAATCCTAATTCCAAAATCGAGCCTTCCCAAAACCCGTGAGTCATACATTCCTGCTCTCGACTTCGCCGCCGCCCCCGAGAATCAAGGAAATCTTGTTGGGCTCTATCAGCGAAGGGTTAAATACTGGCCATGTAGTTTAGGAGATTGGGTAGCTCTATACAAATAGCATACTCTACACACAATATAATCTATGTATGATATAAATTTGCCGGTGTTATTTTATCACCACCACCACCAAGAATCTCCTTAGGCCATTCCTAAACCAAATGCAACACGAAGCAATAACATTTCCAGGTACCTATGCGTATTTATAAACGAACAGACTTCTCAATAGGACAAACGTACCGGATCACCCTCTCATAGGGATCTGCGACAGATATGTATATATCTTGTAGTGTAGATAAAAAGAGCATTGCCCCCTCTCCTCGAACGGCCTCCTCAAAGTCCAAGCTTTAGGCATGCAGTCTTTCCTTTCAATATCATATCCACCGAAAAAAAAAAAAAAAAAAAAAAAATTCATTCCCACCTACGACCCTTCATCTCCGGCAATCTAAACTACCCCTCAACAAACCCCGAGCTGGTAGTTTCCCTGCATAACGTTTACTTGGGAAGCTTTCGGAACCCACCGTATTACTTACTCTACGCCATATGAAAAGATATATATAATCTCACATTCCTACCATTAACCCGCTGTCCCTGAGCCTGCGGGAGATTTCCTACTTCGCCCTGTCTGCAAATAGTAGCCCGCGTGGCTCCTCCATACTTGTACCAAAAATGTAATGCAACTAACACCATCATCACAGAAACAAAATATATCTATTAGGAAACGGATCTATCAGATATACAGTAGCTCTTGCCAACTAGTAATCACATAACCCGGACCTGAGTGCAGTTAATCTATTAGTACCTTTATAATAAAAATGTCTGGAACGCAGTATATCAAAGCAGCCCGCTTAGCTCAGTGGTTTAGAGCGTGTGGCTTTTACAGACAGTAGAAACCTCAAGGTCGCGAGTTCGACCCTCGCAGCGGGCTTTCATTTTTGCCAGCTCCTCCTTGGTTTTTGCAAACAAAGCTAAACTAACGGGGACAAAAGTTTCCGTATTTACACCCAAAATTGCCCCTATTCCCATAAAAAGTGCCCATACTATAGTAATTGCCCCATGAAACACAGGTTTACATAGAAACTTAGTTGATGGATTTCGTCTTATTTCCCTCACGGCACTAGTCACAGCTTGAGCAGATTTGTATGGCGCTTGGCATAATTGGCGAATTTTTGGATCAGGCTAGAGTGATAAACATATGAGCTTGGAAACTTATACACATTGAGATGGGAGGGGTCATGCAACAAGACTATGGACTTCTACTATGTTCGGTGTTGAGAATTAATCGAATTCGAGATGTGTTTTTTGGGAATGGTCTGCCATATAGTACTTTACATTCAAAAACTAAACAAGTCTGATATTAGGTACTATATATAGTATACATGCATTCCAACTTTAAAAATCAATCCCATAACATATACGTTACGTACATTAACTAGTTTCATTTATTCAAAGATTTTGCTACCCCATCAGCTAGCTAGCTACCTATTGGCTACTTGACCTTCACATGGCACGGCCACCCTATATCCCAAGCAGAAAAAGGAGTTATATATAATGAGAAATGAACCCAAACCCGCCCATTCCCCCGCCAAACGCACTGAAAGCCACCACCGGATCCCGCGGAATAATTCCCAAAACAAAATAAACGTTGAAATAATCGGTACAAGCTGGAGGTGTAGGTTGAGCAAAGGAGAATGTAGGACAAGCTACTTCGCTAACATAAGAATCACGCTCAGAATGAGTATGAGACTGAGAATGAGAGTGAGAAATATCAATCCTGAAAGACAAAGAAAAGAAGAATTGATATACAACTCAAGCACAGCAAGCGCACGAAGCAGAAAACAAAGAAAGGAAGCTTAGGAAAAAGTAAAAAACACATCAAACTAACCACAATCCTCACAAATAAAAAAAAGTAAACAATAACATCATAGCAAACCTAGCATAACCTCAATTGGTCAATCGATCCACAACATCCCCATTAATTCAACAAAGGAGAATGAACACCACAAACACCTCTCAACTCCACATCCACTCGAACCACTCATCTATCGCACATCAACAATCTCCCCCAACCCCAGCTCCTCCACGCCAATTTCTGGAGGCCGCCCAATCCCACCATCTCCCCCATTCCTGAATCCACTCAGGAACCCCTCTCTCCTCTTCACTCCTCCATTCATACTCGCATTAGACTCATGTCGCTCCAACCTCGAGCCCATGCTTAGCCTAACAACATTCACATCCACGTCCTCTCCCGGATTGAGCCTGCCAGATATCACAGCCTCGCCCTCATCCTCATCTCCAGAATGCTCGGTCTGATTGTCATCCTCTTGTAGGTTAGGCGATGGTTGAACAGACAGCGACAGCGATGCAGCAGAGTTTCGTGAGCGGATGGAGCTCGACAGGCTGACTGCACGAGATCCCTGTCTGGATGTTGACCTGGACACTGACCTGGACGCTGACCTGGATGCTGACCTGGATGCTGACCCAGAGACGGAAATAGGCGGGGCACTAGCAGTTACAGGAGTGTTACTGACGGACCCAGCAGAAGCAGACTGTACCGATTCCCTTGCCTCCCTAGTAGCAAGCTTCCATGGTAAGATGAAGGGCTTTAGCCGGGGATGAGAATGTCTCGTGGCATTTTGCCCCGGAGGGAATGGCAATGGCGTTTGTTGCAGAACTGGGCCTTGCCCATTGCTTTGGAGACTCAAGTGTGGACTACCTCCGTTAATAGCACCTTGTAGTGACTGGCTGCTTATCCGGTGCAAAGAATTCCCTCGACTTCCATGGTCGCTCCTCCTAATCAACGATGCAGCAATCGATAGGCCGTCATCCATACTCTTCGTCCTAATTCTGCCGAGTCCCAAACCGATACCGATCTCAGAGCTCGTGGGCAGTGGCGCAATAAAGCTGTTAACTCTACTCTGCCTGCCACTCCCTGGAGTGAGCCCCCCACAGGCACTACATAATGACTGCCTGTGCACCGTACTCTCCGCCACATCTCTATTCCTAGCCGCACTTCTCAACGCCGACACCATCCGCTCCTTGTCGTCCAATCTCGCTCTCAGGTCCGCGATCTCTGCATCCTTATCTCGTACAAGGTTACCGAGACTCGCCTCCTCAATCAATCCACTGCCTTGCAACTGCTGCAGTGTCCCAGTCTGTCCAAATACCATAGAGGTCCTGCTCTGTGAGCTCCGGCGAGCATGCAGAAGTCGGCGTTCTAAAGTGGCGATATATCGATTCTTGTCTGCCACGTCCGTTTGCAGCGCCCTGACCTGTGCGGATAAGGTCGCGATTCCATCGGCATACTCCCCACCTGTTGAATCCTCGTCATCCGGAAATTCCAAGTTTTGAGGAGGGTACGAACCGTCAGAAGTCATTGAAAGATGTTGGCTGTTAGGTAGGATCGGAGAACCACTCGACCCTGTCGAAAACGTTCGCGAGAGCGTGCTCATATTAATTGACGACCTCGTCGATATCGTCGACATATGCCCCGTAGGTGGCGTCATCATCGAGTTCCTTGCGGAATTGACACCCGATGATTTCGAACACAATATCAGTCGATTAAGATGTTCGATCCTCTCCTTGAGTGCCGTTCTCGCGAGCTGCATCTCGAGCATCTGTTCCTCATGCCTCTCCTTTTCCTTCTCCTCCTGCCGTCGCTCCTCTTCAATCTCCTTCTTCGCTGCAACATCCTCAAGCTCCGATCGTAACCGTTCAATTTCATTTCGATATCTCTCTAACAGCACCTTGCTCCCCGCATCCATCCCGTTCGTAGGACCATCCTCCGCCTTCTTTGCATGACTCACGATGTTATTCCTTGCTCTCGCCGCAAATTTCAGGGTATTCACCGTCTCGTTCGTGGCAGACTGAGCACCAGTCGATATCGTACATAGTATACTTACCAAACTGTTACCGCTCAAGGCTGGCTGCAACAGCCTAGTAAGTTTACTGTCTCTGTATGGTAAATGGTTTGCGTTCTTGTCTTTGCCCTTTGGCTCGCTCAATCTGGCAATAACCGTTCCAAGTGTCAGTAGCGAACGATTAATGTGAGACCCTTCCTCTCGGCGCTCCTTCGATTCTGCAGCACGTTCACTCCCCGCTAAATCGATCAAGCTCAGTGTACTGACTCGTACACCACCGCCCTGAGTCTTGCCACCACCCATCGGGTTTCCACCAGGTATTCGATCTCTGGACTCTACTACCACCTGAACCACTGCATGTGACCGTGAACTCCGCGAATTGAACTGGGTCCCGGCAACCCTCCTCGCCATATCTCCCCTGGCAATCACCCTCAACAATTGCGTCGGGCTCTGAACAATCTCCTCCTTCAATGGCGTAGCATACACTCCCCTCTTTGCATCCTCTCTCAGCTTGATCTCCTCCTGTGGAGCCTCCGGCTGCCCATTCTTTCCAGTAGGCTGCGCTGATAACAAGTCATTTATCCTCTCGTTGTAAATCTCCAAATAAGAAACTCGTAGCAAAAATTCCCGATTCGGCGTCTCGCGAATAAAGGAAAAAATGTCATTGATGGCCAGGGGAATAACACCTGGAGATGATGTCGTTCCTTGCATGGAGAATGTCTTTCCGGTACCAGTCATACCGTAAGCAAAAACCGTACCGTGGTAACCTTCCATAACCCGGCGAACCAGTCGTTTAGCACAAGCGTCGTATACTCTGGAATTATCGTCATTAGGCCCAAACACGTTATCTATAAACAGCGTCAGTAACTAATACACCTCAGTTATAGGTCCGGTATATGACAAAACCAACCATAGATATAATCTCCTCCCTCGCCACCTCTATACACTATGTGTGAATTACGAGGGTCAACAGTCCACATATCCTCCCCATTGCCGCTTGCATCCGGTCTACACCGCACACTGACCACAACATTCCCCTTCATCTCCTTCCCTCCTTCAGACTTCATTGGTATACCCTCACTGTGACTTCCATCAATCGCCGTCACACTCGTATAACTACCTTCCGCACTCCCACTCCTACTCGGTGGTGGACTTGGCAGCACACTGAGTACCCCAGAGTCGTCCGCGCTCTGATATGTACTTAGATTCGATGTACTCTTACGTGCTAACCTCTTGTTCTCCACTTCTGGAGGCGAAGTAGGCGAAGTAGCTTTTCCGATGGTGCTCAATCTACGATTTGGCATCAATGAATTCGGGGGTGATAAGCTCGCCCGTTGTCCCTTCGGTGGCTGTGGGAACGAGGAAACGGAAACCTTGTGCTGTAACGACTTTGACGTCGTTAATACTGATCCTCCCGGTGGCCCTATAGTCGATAATCGCGACGGTGTTGATGGTCGTGTAAGGAGTGAAGACCCCTTCGGAGCCCTCAAGTTCGGACCCACTCCCCCCGACCGTGCTCCCTGTGGGCGTGGCAGCGTCGCTGCCATTTGTTTACCTGGGCGATTATCGAGACCCAAGCGTTTCAACTGATGGAAGGTTGCGACACCGTCTGTGAGAGACACCGAGATTATCAGTCAAAACGAACGCCCCCATAATAAACTCACAGTAAGCAATATATGAATAATATTGAAAAAGGGGTTGTTTGTTTCAGTTTCGTTCCTAGCAGGAAAAAAACTCACCTCAACGTCCGCCGCACTGTGAGTTCTAATTCCCTCCGATCCGTCTCCCTTGCTCTCTCTCCGTGGCGTATGCGAGTTTCCGCCGTTATACTGTGGGTACAAAAATTCGTTTCCAAAAACAACACCGAAAGGGCGGTAAACAACCCCCTCGTTTACTCGCTGAAATTGTGGCAAGCAAGATTGCGCCTAAACTCTATCGTCGTTTTCGTGTCCCAGATTGGTCCGTAGGTTCCGTAGCGTCTTGTTGCTTCTTTGCCCTGCTATTCTCGTCGGCCAATCAACCACGGTCAAAACCCTGTACTTCCTCAGCTTGCTGGTTGTAATAGGTA